GTGTGTGAGTGTGTGTGTGAGTGTGTGTGAGTGTGTGTGAGTGTGTGAGTGTGTGTGAGTGTGTGTGAGTGTGTGTGTGTGAGTGTGTGAGTGTGTGTGAGCGAGAGTGTGTGTGTGAGTGTGTCTGTGAGTGTGTGTGAGTGTGTGAATGTGTCTGTGAGAATGTGTGTGTGAGTGTGTCTGTGTGTGTGTGAGTGTGTCTGTGAGAGTGTGTGTCTGTGAGTGTGTGTTAGTGTGTGAGATTATGTGTGTGAGTGTGTGTGTATGAATGTGTCTGTGAGCGTGTATTAGAGCGTGTGAGATTATGTATGGGAGTGTGTGAGAGTGTGTGTGTGTGTTAGAGTGTGAGTGTATGAGTGTGGGAGAGTGTGACTGTGTGAGTGTGTGTGTGTGTGAATGTGTCTGTGAGTGTGTGCAACTGTACATGAGTGTGTCAGTGTGTCTGTGATTGTGTGTGAGCTTGTGAGCTGTGTGTGTGAGCTGAGTGTGTGTGCCTGTGTGTGCACAGTGTGTGTGTCCTGTGCTTTGGGTGTGACTCAGCTCACCCACACTCGGCACACAATAGGTTTGTGTGTCCTTAGCGTGTGCTTAGCGTGTGCTCTGTGTGCTCAGCGTGGGCTTTGTGCGTGTGTGGAGCACGTGTGCTTAGTGTGTGTGTGCTGGGTGTGTGTGGGTGTGTGCTCCGTGTGTGCTGGGTGTGTGCTGGGTGTGTGTGCACTGAGTGTGTGTGTGCTTAGCTGGGATAACTGGGAAAGCTGGTGATACTGGCCCAGCCTGGCTCTGGGAGCTCTGGCACGTGTGTCCTTTGTCCCCTCACTTTTCCCTGCCCTGCTGAAGCCACCAGTGTCCCTCTGGTTCCAAACTGGAGCCAGACCAGTTTGGGGCACGGGGTCCCCATTAACCCTTCTACTTCCACAGCACTGGTCCTGCCCAGCCCCCCGTGCCCCCCCTGCCACGGGGCACAGGAACGTGGTGTCACCCGTGGCTCCTTCCCTGCCAGGAGGTCACCACCCTCACACCCAGGCATCATACGAGCCACTGGAGAATCCACAAGGCTTCGGACTTTACACCCAACGCGGGACCCTCGGGAGAACCTCGGGTGGTCTCCTGGTGGTGCTCTTGCCTCCTCCTTGTCCCCCTCCAGCCCCAGCCCTGGCCGAGCTGTGTCACAGCCCCTGTGGTGCTGCTGGGCCTGGACACCAAGGTCCTGAGCAACTGGCTCAGAGGCCTCTGGCTGTGCTGGAAGGTGGGAGCTGCCAGGGGCTTCCAGCATCTCTCCATCCCAGTGCTCCTGTGTCCCTGCATCCCTCAATCTGTGTCCCCCCTGTATCCCTTGCTCTACGCATCTTCCTGTCCCTCGGTCCCTCCATGTCTGTGTCTCTGCATCCCTCCAGCCCTGTGTGTCCCTGAGTCCCACCAGCTCCCTGTCCTGGTGCTCCAGTGTCCCTCCAGCCCTGTGTCCCCATGTCCCCCCAGCCCTGTGTCCCCGCGTCCCCCCAGCCCTGTGTCCCCGTGTCCCTCCAGCCCTGTCCCCCCGTGTCCCTCCATCCCTGTCCCCCCGTGTCCCTCCATCCCTGTGTCCCCGTCTCCC